ACCCCAGGTCCCTAAAGTGGGCCCCTCGTTATCTGCGTGCTGTCCAAGGGGTGTTCGCTGGGCCGCACTCGTAAGGTTTGGCGAGGAAGCGCCCCCCAGGGTCTCCCTGCATTTTGAAGCCAGGTAGTAATTCGCAGGCGCCAGGCAGACGTCAGTGTTGAACTCCAACGGGCCCGATCCCAATCCCGATCCTCGTCCTCCTCCTCCTCCTCCTCCTCCTCTTCCTCCTTCTCCTCCTCCTCCTCATCCTCCTCCTCCTCTTCCTTCTCCTCCTCCTCCTCCTCCCCTCCTCCCCCTTGTCCTCCTCCTCCTCTTCCTCGTCCTCCTCCTGCTCCTCCTGATCCTCCTCCTCCTCCTCCTCCTCCTCCTCTTCCTCTTCCGCATCCTTCACTTCCTCCGCCTCCTCCTCCTCATCATCATCATCATCATCATCGTACGTCTCCTCCTCCTCCTCATCTTCCTCCTCCTCCCCCCTTCCATGAGGCTTTCCAGGGGCCCAGGCCTCCAACGTCACAAGAGTTCATCCTCTTCCTACCCCGCCTCCTCCTCCTCCTCCTCCTCCTCATTCTCCTCCTCCTCCTCACTCTCGTCCTCCTCCTCCTCCTCCTCCTCCTCCTCCTCCTCCTCCTCCTCCTCCTCCTCCTCCTCCTCCTCCTCCTCCCCTCCGCGTCCATCACCTCTTCCTCTTCCGCCTCCATTTCCTCCTCCTCCTCCTCCTCCGCATCCGCCTCCTGCTGCTCCTCCTCCTCCTCCTCCTCCTCCCTCCTCCTCCTCCTCCTCCTCCACCTCCCCCCTTCCTCCTTCTCCTCCTCCTTCTCCTCCGCCTCCAGGTCCTCCTCCTCTTCCCCTTCATGCATCAGGCTTCTCATTGGGCCCAGTCTCGAACATCTCGGGGAACTCCTACTCCGCCTCCTCCTCTTCTTCCTCCTTGTCCGCCTCCTCCTCCTCATCCTCCTCATCCTCATTGCCTCCTCCTCCTCATCATCATCATCATCATCATCCTCCTGCGCCTCCTCCTCCTCCTTCTCCTCCTCCTCCTCCTCCCTCTCCTCCTCCTCTTTTTCCTCCTCATCCTCCTTCTCCGCCTCTTCCTCCACCTCTTCCTCCTCTTCCTCCTCCTCCTTTTCCTCCTCCTCAACATCATCCTCCTCCTCCTCCCCCTCCTCCTCCTCCTCCTCCTCCGCCTCACAAAGCCGATCATTGGACCGCACCCCCTGCCGTGCCAACCCGCTCCCCAAGTTGTGCAGGACGTTGCGCGACTCCCGCACTCTTGAAGGAGAGCGGGTGCCAAGTAAAGCTGTGCCAGCTGTAGCCCGATTGCATGTTCCAGGCTTGCGAAAACCAGACGTGTGCCGTGTACCCCAGGTGGGCGAGGGAGTATCGCCCCCCCCTCGGACCCCAGGTGTTGGCGGGTTGCGAGCCCCACGGGTCCCACTCGTTGCAGTATGTGGGCAAGGTGTCCTTGCTTATCTGCCCTCGTTGTGGTAAGACCGCGACGGCCGATCCCCCAGCATCCGTCGTGCGCGTGCCAGGTCACCCCGAAGGGGCTCCAGGAAGTGGCTGGTGTAAGAAGAGGCAAGACCCCCAACCCGTCGGGGCCGCCCCGTCACATCCGAGACGCAGGGTCTCTGCGTCACCTCCAAGCTATGTGCCGGCAGCCCGTCTTGCTTACGTAATGTCTGTTTCACGCTGGCATTCATCCGCAGTGCTCCTCCTCCCCCTCCTCGTCCTCATCCTCCTCGTCATCCTTTTCCTCCTCCTCCTCCTCCTCCTCCTCGTCCTCCTTCTCATCCACCCCCCTAGCCTCGGCTGCGCTTCTCCTTCGATTATGGCGCGAGGCGCGATCCACAGAAGTCGAGTCCAGGAGGGACAGCCTTGGCCCTCTCAGCCGAGCAGTGTTAGTTGTCAGGCGTGCTGGGTGGCACGCTGTACCGTTTACTGCTTAGCGTGATTACCGCGGGTCCGAGGTCCTTGTTGATACGATGCCACCCAAAATGCCTAGCACCTTTCTGGTTGCAGGCATTCCGCGTCGGCATGAGCTGACCCTTGCCCAACAGCTTGGAGCTAGCTCCTGACGCTGGATTTCGTTCGATCGGGGCTCGGAGATCGCGCTCGGGGGGTCACTGGTTTCGAGGAATTCCTGGGTGGAAGCTGCCCTCGCCACTGGGTCTGGACCAGAGCCAGGACCCAAGTGGCTGGATCTATGTGCGATGGTCTCTGCGACGACTGGCAGCGAGACACGATACCGTACTGGTTGTTTGAATGTATACTTCCCCGTGAAGTGGAAGCGCGCTTGGCTTCAGACGTCACTGCTGAATTCGTGCAAAGTGGTCTTGAGTCTCATGACCCCGTTTTTACGCAGGGAGTTGTCTTGTACCCTGAGGCCGAGATTCCGCGTCCCTCTTGCACAGGCCAGGTCGTTCTTGAGGGGCCAGGAGGGGAGAGCTTGGATGTTTCGCTTGACGAGATCGGTACATCAGTGCCCTGTCCGAATCTTGCGGTCGCTCCCGATGGCTCTTGTTCCAGGCTTGGCCTTGTCGAGCTTGAAAGAGCGTCTTGGGCTAGTGTCGTGCTCCAGGACAATTATGATGGGCCAGCTGCTGTGCTTCGTGGCCCTGTGGCAGGGTACCTGCCCCAGACTCCGTCGATGGCTGAAAGTGTTTGCTTGAGTTTGATAGGGCAGTTGGCCGATCGGGACACGCTGGCAGGCGTAGATGGCACGGCTGCTGTTCGTAAGTGTCAGAAGCCGCTGTGCCAGCAGATGCGTGCTTCCAAGCAGGCTGCCGGAAGTGTGAACTTCGGGTTGGGTCTCAAGGGCCACCAGCACATCTCAGTGCGGCATGTTAAAGCCTATAAGTCGACAGGAGAGAGCAGCACATGAGCCCCGAGGAGTACCGCTGGGCGGAAGCTGACTGGTTGGCGGATCACCACGCAAGGATAGGTGCGCGAATGCACCCGATGCCCGAACCTGAGTTTTTAGCTGCCCTGGACGATGCCAGATGCCGAGCAGGCTCATTCATGAAGCTAGCTGGTGCTGTGCTGTCTTTTTTCAGACGCCTGGGCAAGAGCGCTGGCGGCGTCCCGTTGCCACTCAACGGCAGAAGGAAAAAGTGCGGCGGGAGGGGTGGCACGACTGGCGGGTTGGGGAGCCTTGGTGGCAGAGTGCTTTCTGCTTCAAGGTGGTTCCCCATGCCGCTAAACCGCCACTCGTAGGCTGTCTTGGGACCCCGAAGTTTTTAGGGCCCCTGTCTCAGGCCAGTCTTGGTCATCATTTTGTCGCTGTGGCAGGTCGTAGGTTGGCCCCACACCATGACGTCAGCCCAGAGCCCGAGGTTCGTCGAGGCTCGCTCTTGTGTTTCCGCTGCGGCGCGCGGAGCCAGTAGAAGGCGATCAAGCTCTCTCGACCCAGCTCCGTCCCCACTCGCACGGGGCTCGAAGTGCTGTCGCCTTCTGGGCGTGGCCTCGATCCAAAACCGCGAACTCGAGCCTCGATCGATCAAGCGGTCCCTGCTGCCAGGGCCGACGCCGAGTTCCGCACGGCCCGTGCAGCGCAGGAGTCGACGGCCGTTTCCAGCGGTGTTGCCGACGGCCCTGTGCTGTATGACGAGCGGAGGGTTCGACGGTGCGAGCGCATCCGTGCCACAGGGGAGGCTGCCCGGCGGGGTGTGCCCATGTCGGATTGTGGCCTTCGGGGCGGGGACGGGACCTGTGTCGAGGCGGAATCGCCGCCCGAATCCCCGGCCCGAGCGGCGGCCACGTTCGCAGGACAGCGTTGGGGTGTTCTGGCCCATCCGCTACCGTCCTACGCAGGCCCATGCATGTATTCTGGAGGATGCCAGCCCATCCTGGGTACATATGGGTGGATCGGAAATTCGTGACATTTTTCGTTGCTCCATTCTTGGCTTCTGTGCTGCCGTGTTGTACGGTTGGTGAGGCAAAGCATTGAGCGGCACAGCTTTTTCTGGCTCGTTGGGTCCCCTCTAGAACCCCACCGGTCCTGAAGTTCTGAGGGTGTGCTCCTGTCGTGGGTCTGCTGAGGGATATCGCCCCTCCCGGCAGCGCCAACAAAAGTCCTCCAGACGGAGGCGCCCTTCAGATTTTAGGAGAGTTCAGCGGGCGGAGGAGGAGGAGGAGGAGGAGGAGGAGGAGGAGGTGGAGGAGGAGGAGGAGGAGGAGGAGGGAGGAGGAGGAGGAGGAGGAGGAGAGGAGGAGGAGGAGGGAGGGGGAGGTGGAGGGTGGAGGTGGAGGATGGGAGGAGGAGGAGGAGGGAGGGGAGGAGGAGGAGGAGGAGGAGGCAGGGCCCTCCCACGGCGCACACGCGTCGTCGGTGCCATCCTATCCTGTCCTCGTGCTCTTCCTTCGGGGAGAACGCCTCTCGTGCCCTTCCTCCGGGCTAATGGATTGCCCCTCCTGTAGAGCCGCCAGGACCGCCATGCCTGCGGGCGGCGAGGACAAGATTCTTCATCAGTCGTCTCACTCCTTCTTAGAAGGAGTGAGACGAGTGATGAAGAACGGGAGGGCACGGTGAGAAGGAGCTGGGGAAGGAGGAGGAGGGGGAGCAGCAGGAGAAGAGGGAGGGGGGAGGAGCAGATTCAGGAGGAGAGGGCAAGGAAAACGCTGACGACGCCGCCGACCGCGACGATGCCGACGATGCCGACGACGAGAGATGATGAGCAGGTGCAGGAGCAGAATCGGCAGCAGAGAAACGTGTGACAGGGGATGAGTACGTAATTTGGAAAAGGTGCAGGGAGGAAGGGGTACGAACCGGAAGAGGGGATGAGGTGGGCGAGGAAGGGTCAGGGCAGGAGCGGGGACGGGCTACCCACCTGCTCCCGTGCCCAGTCGTGACTGGAGCAGCAGAGCGCGCCCACCGCAGAACCGGGATGGGCCTGGCCAGGACAGGCCTGGGTGCCTGTGTGGGCGCGCCTCGCTCCCGAGGTGCGACGGGGGGGAGGGCCTCAGGGGGGCGCTGCTGGTGGCCGTGCGTTGGGCACCGTGAGGACCAGCTGCTGCGTGAGGCCGTCGCGGACGCCCTGCAGCAGCAGGACGGGGGGAGCGAGGGGGGCCAGGGAGCGGCCCGAGCCGAGGCCCCTCCCATCGTTCCCCGCTGCTGCTCCTCGGGTTCCTCCTCCCTCGTGTCCCCTCCGCCCTCGTCGCTCCCCGTCCCCGCTGTCGGCAGTCGACGGGCCCTCGCGGAGGCTGGAGGAGCTGGCGAGCAGGGGGCCATGGGCGGCCGGGGCTCCAGTTCCGGAGTATATAGCGAAGGGAGTAGAAAGAGGGAGTGGACGGAGCGGCGCAGGTGTGCAAGATATATATATATATATGATTATATATATATATATATATATATATATATATTCGAGCGAGCAGAAGGAGCGAAGAGAGCAGGGTTAGCCGCGATCCCCTGATTGAATGGACCTCCCCTGAAGACACGAGAGTTGGCTATCCCGGGCCAGGGCAGAGAGCTGGCCGGGGGAAACGGGAGGCGAGGCCGAATTTCGCTTTCGCCGGGGAAAGTGCGAATCGAATTTGCCATGCTTTAAGTTTAGTGGCAACGCTATCAAGAACGTGTGGCAGGGAATGTGGGATTCGCACTACTTCAGGTTTCCTAACTCACGAGATACCGGGGAGAAGAACATAATCGCCCCCGAACCCCGAATTTCAAAATCCCCACCTTGTGATTATCAGGGGTCCTCGGTTAGTATGTAGTAGATTGTAAGGGGTACAGGTAGACAGCAGAGTGCAACAAACAGAGAGCATAGACTACAGAGCCAAGGTCGGGAACGCGAGAGTAGTGAGTTAACGTTATATGCATCCATTTATATATATATATATATATGTCGTGGAGAGTAAAGGTTGACATCTAACGTACTTAGAGGAAGGATAACGAATAGCAGAGAGTAATGTAGTGCACCTGCTTTGAGAGTAGAACGTAGTGAGCTCACAGCAGCTAGTAGAGTGTAGGGAGCACGGAGAAGCATATTCGTCATTCTATGCGTCCGTCTACCACGAGCGCGCTGTCGTTTCAGCTTGTTTGCGGAACTGTTATGGTTCTTCTTGGTGGCTGCACTTGCATATTCCCAGTCCTTCCTTGCCTGTATCCTCCTGCTCCATTCCTCCTTTCCTTTCCTCCCCTCGTGCTCTTCCTCGGTCCCTCCTCTTCAACACCTCTCCGCCGATCCTCTTCGTCATTCCGCGTCCCACAGTTGCCTTACTCTCCTTCTCATCTCGGTCTGTCCTCCCTCCTCCTTCCGGCTGGCTCGTGCCCCTCCGCTCCCTCCTCCGACTGGCTCATCCCCCCTCCGTTCCTCTTCACTCCTCCTGCTGTTCATTCTCCCCCTCCTGCTCCTCCTCCCCCTCTTCCCTTCCCCTTTCCCCCCCAGATCCTCCTACCCCTCCCTCCTCCTCCTCCTCCTCCTCCTTCCTCCTCCCTCACTCTCCTCCTCCTCCCTCCTCCTCCTCCTCCTCCTCCTCCTCCTCCCCTTCCTCTTCCCTTCCCCTTCCCCCCCCCTCCTACTCCTCTGCTGTTCATTATCCTCCTCCTCCTCTTCCTCCTCCTCCTCCTCCTCCTCCTCCTCCTCCTCCTCCTCCTCCTGCCGCCTCCTCCTCCTCCTCCTCCTCCTCCTCCTCCTCCGCCCCTTCCTCCTCCTCCTCCTC